GTTATTGAGCTCTATGTTCATTACCCCATTTATGCCAATGGGTCTGTTGTGTAGGGCTATTCACTCTGTTTTATAGGGAGGAAACAGGGCCTCAGACAGAGGACGCATCCAATGTTATACACCTGTACACATGCTAGGGCCAGGATTTGAACACTGATTTTTCCGGTACCACAGCCTGTACTTTACCATCATAAGCAGCTATAAAATGAGGGTTGGCCTGAATGATTTCTGCTTTGATAATTTCCAATTAAGTACCAGGTTTGTTTTTCCAATTCCCTGCATCCAGGATCAACCCAGGATTGTTTTATACTTAGCCTAATATCTTCACTACTGACTTTCAAAGACCCTGGGCAGAAAAGTGGTAAAAATGGCCTGAGGCAATGTTGATGAGAGCACAGCTCACCTTTGTCACATTATTTGCATGGTGGATACCAGCCCAAGGAGAGGGGAGTATGGTTGATTCCCCAGCCCAAGGTGTCAGTTTGATTAGTCTGGAATGGATCTTTGGAATTCTTAATGTTTTTAAAAAAAATTCTTCATGTCATTCTGATGTGCAACTAGGTTAAGAACTCTTATCCCAAGTGGCAGAATGGAGACTAGACAGAAGTTATCAGAAAATAGATTTATCTTAGACTGAAGAAAAGCTTTCTAACAACTAGAGCTAACCAACAATAGAAGCTGATCAACTTGGAGAAGGACTGAGCCTGCCATGCTTAGAAGCATTCATGCCGAGGCCTGATGAAGACAAACTAGACAAACTCGAATGTTGTCTGTGTGCAGTGGAATTAAGTTTGTTTCCCCAAGGGTCTTTCCTTTCTAAGGGTGAGTATTTTTAGCCATGATCCTACTGTCCCGTGTACTTTTGGTATCTCCTAAATGACTTTCTCCTATGACTTTGGGCCTAGGGCTCCCTCCCTCTCTCTGGCTGCACTGTGGGTGAAATTGGCAGGATCCTGCAAAGTGCATTCACTTCCTTCCCATTCCAGGAAAACATTTTTTGTGTGGAGGCTGCTTCTCGTTTCTGACTTCTGTCTCCCTTGGCTGCCCTTCCCCCAGCACAGCAGTGCCTGCCAAGGCTGGGTGGGCCCCAGTGGTGTGTTTAGGAATCTGTGACATTAGGCGATTAACCATCCCTTCCTGAATGGTGCTAATAAACTTGGGGTGGAGACACTATTATGCTGTCTTCAGCATATAAAGAGAGAACGTTTGGGCCAAGGTTGCATTTTCATACCTGTTCCACATCCTTTCTCTCAGTTTCATGTGATGGAGAGGAAACTGAGGCCCTGAGGTCATCTCAGAAACCATGGGGCAGGGAGAGTCTGCCCGCACTGAGAGGACCCACAGGCCAGGCAAGGGTGCTGGCCCCGAGGGCCTGATTTTAGAGCCAGGTGCACCTTACTTCTAGCTCTGCCCCTCACCACCAAGTGACCTGTTGTTAATGAAAGAACAGTGGAGGTCAAGTCAGTCAAGCCGTAGGTTGGTGTCTTACAGGTAAGGAATGCTTGATATAAGGTTAGTTGCTGTAACTATCAGTATCACCTTCGTCTGCTATTGAACACTGAAAGATGATTATAGCCTGTTGGGTAAAGGGCACCCGACAGAGTGAAGGTCGACTGTTCAACTTGTTAGAGTCTTTGAGGGTTAAAAATGAGAAGTATCAACTGGATTTCCAACAAGCCTGTCACAGCTTAAACATCAAAGTTAAACTAAGAATGGCCACTGTAGAACTGTAACCACTCTGCCTGTTCTCTTTGTGTACATGACCTCACACTCCAAGAAGTGATGGTACAACCTCTTAAGAAGGCTATGCTGTCCCATGCAGGAACTCTCCTGCCCCCTTTGCAACACCCAGCACTTTTTATTGAGTGGGAGTGAGTGACAGTGAGGCTCTAGCCCTCGCCTTCTCTCTTTGGGAAAGTAGTAATATGAGAACTTGAACTTTGTCACGTGTCAAACTCATGATAATGACCAGAGGCATGTCTGCTGCCCCTGCTTCCCAATGACTCGCCAGGCCAGCTTCATGGGCCATACCTGCAGCTGTTTGCCCTTTGTGTCTGCATTGGGGGATGACAGGTAGAGTAGGTGGCCTTTCAGTGGGTGTGGCTAGCCTGAGTATCCCACAATGCCATTTAGCCTATATAGACCCTGTTGTCCAGGAGAAGAGGGGCATTCATCTAGCAGAGGGGACAAGAACACAGATGATCCAGGCTGCCAAGTCTAATCCTGGGTTGGTCCTTTGTATTTGTGTGACTTTGGACGCATTTCCTTTTCCTCTTGGTAGAAGGTAGTTATTACACTACTCACCTCACAAGGCTGCTGTGAGAATTTAAATGAGTTAATGGGTATAAACCTTGAGAACAAGTCAGTGCCATGTAGAGTTTGCTGGTATTACTGTTACCCACGAAGGCATCCTGGGCTGTTCCTGGACATAGCCTGGTATTGGCTTCTGGCCTGGTGGTCCTAGACTTTGCACATTCATACCAAGATGCGTAAGCCGTGAGGCAGCGTTCTTGGACCAGCCCAGGTGTCATTGGGTCTGACACAGGCAATCCTTGCCGTGATTAAAGTTGTCCTAGGCCTGGCGTCATGAGAGAGTCATCTCCCGCTGCATCAGCCAAGAAGGGGCTTGTCTGAAGCTATACCTGTGGACCTCCTGGGGAGCCTCAGCCTACATTGTGGGGGAGGCCAGGCCTCCTCAGGAGCACCCTGGCTCCCTAGTGTTGAAGGAAACCCATGTCAGTGACCCAGCTTGGGTTGGGGCTGGTGTCCCACCACCTGGGAGGCTGAGACAGACAATGGGCTCAAGGTAAGTAAGGTGCCAGGAACCTGAAATCAGAAAACAGAATGGACCTTTGGATATTTCTTGCTTTAGACTGGTGGGCTTAGTTTGGGGAAGCTCTTTAATAAATGCTGACAACAAAGAGTTCTGGGAAATTGTCATCTCTTCAAATTGGGAACCCAGCAAGCCAAGCCTGGTCTCTCTGATGGGGTGGGGGGGAGAGGAGAAGTGGCCAGGGCCTTCGTCACTTCTCTGCTCGTACTCACCCTCTCTCACCTCGTGGGTGGATGGTGTCTGCCAGCTCCGTCGTACTGTAACCACGCGGCTCTCTGTCATGGAGAGGGCTGGGCAGACTCACCGGAATCCTTCACTGTGCTGCCAGCCGCTGTCAGCATTTTACTCCAGACTCTAATCTTCCCACTGTTTGAGATTTTATGAGAACGATGAAAGTTGAGTACTGATCAGAATATTTTAATGGTCTGAAAAGGGCCAATCTCATTATTCTGTAGGGGTAGAAACAGGCCCAAAGAGAAGGATGTGCCCCGAACCCACAGGGAGTTAGGATGCAGCCAGGAAGAGAGCAAACTTAAGGAGACGCAAAGGAAGACACTGGGATTGTCCTTTTCTGCTGTTTCTTTGAAAGTCCTAGGCTATACATTTGGTTAAAAGAAAATCTAAGAAGAGCTGACTCAAAGTGCTGGAAAATATAATAGGCTGTAATATTAATGAGGACATTTGTCTGGGAAAGCTAATAAAAATTTATGCTTCTTTGTCAGAGTTGGATAAGGGCAAGGAACATGCGGGCACTGACTTGTGTTACCCTCAGGAAAAACAGTGGTGATGGTCATCAGCCAAGCTTTGCCTTTGGGAATCCTAGAGTTTTGGAGCTGGGAGAAGCAGGGTCCCCTTTGGTCCCTCAGTGTGAGGACAGGGCTGGGAGGACCACACTCTTCATACCTTGAGGGCACAGCTGGGGCCTGGCCCACGGTTCTTGATTCCCTCTAGCCCCGTCCTCCGTGGCCAGCAGCCTCCCCTGTCTGGGCACTGCTGCAGGGAATGGGAGTGTTGTGGAAATCTGTGCCTTCCTGGATGGATTTCCATCTGACCTTAGTAGTAGGAAAGTGACAATATTTATGGCCGGGGCAGAAGGGTACTTCCAAGAAGGAAACTGAGAAAGACTCCTGATGCTTCTCCTTCTCCTGGTATTATGTCTGGGAAAAGTTCATGTAAGTTTATGCTGGGAACAAGGTCAATTAAGTAACTGTGGAAAGCTGCCTTTGTTTCTGAGGAGAGGAGAAGTTGTATTACTATTTATGTAGGACCCCTCTTATGCCTCGGGCCCTGTACTAGGCTCCAGGGATGGAGGGAGCAAATGGACATGGCTCTTCTTGCCCTTGGTGCTTATATTTGGACACTAATAAAATGTATAATGCCAAATTGTGGATGGTTTTGTGAAGGGAAAAGCTTGAGTTCTTAGAATAGTGGGAGGACTGAGTATTTTCTTGGGAGGGTCAGGGAAGGCCTCCGTGGAGAGAGGATTGAAGGATTGGTAAGAGGCAGATGGCAGATGGTCAGTGGCAGAAGAAGAGTGGGGTAAGGAGCTGCAGGGCCCTTGCGAACAGGCTCCGAGGCAGGAAGGGTGAGTTGGGTGAATTGGGGACTGAACCAAAGACAAAGTGTGCGCAGAAGTGCAGAGGCATGCATTGAGTTTAGGAGGGGGAGACAGGCCAGACCATACAGGGCCTTGGAAGGATTTCCAAGGGGTTTGGCTCTCATGGACAGCCACCGGAAGGTGTCAAGCAGGGGAATAATAGCAGAGTCTGGCTGGGGGTGGAAAATGGATGGAAGAGGTAAAAGTAGCATTGACGATTGTGTAAGTCCAGGTAAGAGGTGGCGGCTGCTTGGCCCGGGTTGAGGGGTAACGCGGTTGACATGGCTGGCCTTCTGAGGTGTGTGTAGGGGAATAAGAGATGAGGGTCAGTAACGAACTCTGGTTCAAGGGATGTCTTAAAATTAAACCTGCTTTTCTAATTTTAATTTTTAGTTTAGTTTCTTTTAAAAGACAAAGTCCTGTCAAATGGATTCTGCTTAAATGGTCTTGCATAACCTATATATAACGGATTTTGTTCTTTTGAAGTGTTGAGGGATGTTCCATGACATAAATGCGTACCACAATTTCTTTAACTTACAGGTTTCTACTCTTGTTTTCCCCTTTTCGTAGGTTGACCAGTATCTCTATCACATGCGTCTTTCTGATGAGACCCTTCTGGAGGTTTCCAAGCGGTTTCGCAAGGAGATGGAGAAAGGGCTGGGAGCTACCACCCACCCTACTGCTTCAGTGAAGATGCTGCCCACCTTTGTGAGGTCCACTCCTGACGGGACAGGTACTGCACTGTGGGGCAGCGTGGGCGAGGGGATGGCTCTGGCGGCTCTACTGCTGGTGGGAGATTTGGGTGGCTTTGCTCAGGGACCTAAAGAATTGTGTATCAGTGAAAGTCCTTTGGTTTGGAGCCTGGCTAATTTAAGCATACAGCAAATTTAACGCAGTCTGTGGGACGGGTTAGACAGAAAGACTGGGAAAGCAGGCAGCCTTGGCAGTCAAGATAGAAGTGTATCCTTGTCAGGCCGACCAGGGCCTTGCTGTCCAGCATTTGTTTCCCATTCACATGCTGAGAAAGGCTGCTTGGCTCAGTGTGGGATTTTATGGTCCTGCTGAGATTGCACTCAGTGATGGTGATGAACAACATATGTGCCTAAGACGGTCACAGCCACGGGCCATGGCAGTCTCTGGCCCACCTAACCAGCACATTCCATCATCTTGCTGGAGAAACAGTGTGGTACAGATCGTCCTAGATTGTTCTTGAACTTCATAAAAAAGAGTATTATAAGTCCAAATAAACCTTGGAGCATGTGAAGAGTCACGGTGCATATTAAGATAGTAAAAGATCTGAAGTTGTGCAATAACTTCAAACATTGTTTAATCCCCTTATTTGGATTCAGAATTCCTATTTCATGGTGCGCCCCCAGGCCAGTGATGAATCAAAACGGAGAGAAGGGCCGTGGTGGCGGTTGAAGTTGGAAGGTGGATTGGGGCCAGATCAGAGAAGCCTTGCATGCCTGCCTAAAACTTTGAGTCTTTCTTCAGTAGCCACTGCGGAGCAACTGGAAGGTTTGAGGGGCGTGAGGACCGCTGCCTTGGTGTAACAGGCATCATCAGCAGTTTATGCAGCGTGGAGGAGGGGTGATGGCCGCTGCTGGAGCTCAGGACAGTGGCCCGGCTGGCATATGCTAGGCAGGGCTGGGAGACGATGCTATGGTGGTGCCAGGATGTTGAGCCCAGCTCTCTGGGGGTGGCAATATCCCCCAGAAGAAGGGAATGGAACCAAGTTGTGTCACACAGCTTGTTTCACTTAAACTTTCTGAAAACCCTCCATTTTAGAGATGAGGTATCTGCAGGGCCATGAGTGGTGAAGGATGTGGGACAGCTACCCACTTCTAGGGGTGGGAGAAAGAACCCAAGGGACAGCGGCCATGGCAGCTGAAGAACCAGGAAGTCCGAGAACCTGAGGGAGGAGAGTACGCCAAGGAGCTGGTCACTAGTGAGGCATCTGCAGAGAAGTCCTGGGGGTGGGGCTAGGGGTTGGGGAAGCACACGGGACAGGGCTTGTTCAGGTGCCACGTGCCTTTGCACCTGTGTCCTTGAGGCTTACCTGCCTGAGAGCCTCTAGGGACCTAGTATTAACAAGAATTTGGACCTTTCTATGATTCCTAAAGTAAGTATGTGTTTGCCAAAGCCTTGGGACCCAGCCTGGACCCAAGGGTGTGACTTTGTTTGGATTGTCCTCTGAGTATGTGTGTTTCAGCCCTTCGAAGAGCTCCTTGAGGTGAGGGGCCTCTCCCAGTTCTTGAGTATCCCTTGTATGCCCTCTAGATCAGCACTTACTGTACCTGCCACTCCCTCTGACTGGTGGCCACACTTGTTTCTATTGTTTATATTTGACATTTTGATAAATTTACCAGCTCCTTAAGGCCAAGGACCTTGTCTTTATTTAAGGCACTAGCACTAAGCCAGTACCCGAATATTTACTAAATGTATATTATGGGTAAGGGCTTTTCTGAGCTCCATGCCCTAACTCATTTACTTTTCACAAAATCCTACAAGGAGGTGTGTGCCAATTTTACATATATCTTTTTACATAGATCATAAATATGGGTTGGCTTTGTACCATTATAATAAGAAGCTCAAGTAATAAGAACCCAACTGAAAATCGTTGAATAGTTTAACTTCATGTTCCAACTTAGAAAAACATTATTTTTGTAGTGCCTTTTTTACCCTTAGATATAACAATGTCTTATAGGAAAAGTGAGATTAAGACTTTGTTGTATTTATCGTTTGACACTTCCCTAGTTCCCTGAATTGTGAATTATTCCCTGAATTGTGAATTATTTTCACGGGTGAATGTCTCTCCACCCTCTAGCCAGACTGGACCCCTTAGAGAACAGGGAATGATGATGGCGATAGGGATGACAATGAAAAATTGTAGGCTTTTTGAATGCCAGGTACTGTGATAAGGAATGTATTGGAACTAGTGCATTAATTCTCACAGTGACACAATGCCAGGCATTTTGAAGTCCATATTATAAAAAGACGAGATTTAGAGTTTAGACAGCTTGCCCAAAGTCACAGAGTGAGCAAGTGGAAGTGTTGGGATTTGAACCTGGCCAGCTGTATGCCCAGACTCTTGGGCACACCACCAGTGGTGCACTTTAAGCTTATCTACCCTTTCCCTCCACTGCTAACACAATGCATTAATTTTTCTATTAGTAACTCAGGGCAAGCTGTTCAGCTCGTTCATTAAAGACCATCCAAGGCTGGTCCTCTGTGTCGCAGCAGTGTGCTGAGCTGTCTTGTGCCCTGCCTTTGGAAAGCGAAAATTACCCTGGGAAGATAAGGCCTACACTGATGAAGTGATTACAGAATGATATGAGTCATATAATGTAAGCGCATGATATGATATAGAGAGATTAGCCTGGTGATAGATTTTGTGGTGGTTGGTAAAATCCAGTAAGGAGCCCTTATCATGGTTGCTTAGCATTGTATCAATAGCCAGACAGTGGGGATAGATCAGTAACATGCACACAAATTAATAAGTGGGTTTATATAGTATCTACAATATAAACTAAAGATTGTATTGATAAATGGCCTCCATATAGTGGTAACTAGAGGTTATTAAACATGCACCAGGCATTCGGCCAAACACCTTATGCTTTCTTTGCATTGAATCTTGATTTAAAAAACAAACAAAACAACAGTGTGTGTATTTCCCTGTGTCCTGGGGAGTGGCCAGGGACATGCTGGCTAGACTAGGTTATTAATATCCCCTTTTAGCAGATGATGAAAGCAGATGATGAAGTCCGAGTATTAGATTTCTAGTAATTTACTCTAATCATATGGTTAAAGCAGGATTTGAACCCAGTTCTGCCTGGCTGAAAATTTTAACACACTCACCACCTACACAATATTGAAATATAATCATATTTGAATTCTTTGAAGAGTGGTTTCATGTATGTGGAGCTTATGTAGTAAAGACCTCTCTGTGACAGGCACATATTTTGAGCTTAAGAAACATTTCCTGATATAGAAGTACCAGGAAGGTGCATTCCGATGGTGTTGTGGATGCTTTTGGTGGGGCAGGGGGGACATTTACAATGTGTTTATGTACTACAGGCCCTTTCCCTCAATCAGAGTAGCTCTATTTGTCTCTTTCTCTACATTTTGGCATTTGGCATTCTGTTGCTTAAAATAGTTGGAAGACAAATGACGTAGAAGATCAGATTTCCATTCCTTGACTGTGGCAGACACTAGCATTAACTGACTGTGTGCTTTGATATCTATAATGACATGGAGTTACTTTATTTCTGAACTATGGAGTGGAGAACGGCATTGTATTATAGTGGAGTTGCTGGACTTTGGAGCTTAAAAAGGCTGCCAGGTGTGGTGGTGACCGTGCTGGTTCCAGGCCACCAGGCACATGGGAAACATGCCTTGAAACCTGTGTCTGGAAAAGTTACTTTTGCTGGATTACCTACCCAGGACCAGGAGATTTATCTTTTTAGTTCTCTTCTTAATTGGAGTCCACCTCATATTTTCTTAGAGCAGTCTCTAGAGGTGTCCTAGCAGGCGCTAGAAAACTAAAGGATTAACAAGGTCTCTCATCCCAGAGCCACTCAGTGGAGGAAGATCGGAATGTTCAGTGCAGTCACCTGGGGCCCCTGGAAACATTCCTGTTTTACAGGGTAGGTAAGAGTAAGTCCCTTTGGGAACCTTGAATTATTACAAAGTCACTTCAGGAACTCAATGTGAATGGATGGCTGTGTGTCTTCGACCTACCTCAAGGTTCAAGGCGGCATGCCTGTGGCAGTGGGTGACAAGGAAGGGCTGATGCCCCAGCGGCTGGCTCCAACATGGCCCTCAGGTGACCAGCCATCTGATTTCCCCAGGACTCTCAACAGTGGTGGCACTGAAAGCCCCGTGTGAATCCTGGGCCCACCAGAGTGGCTGAGCACCCTGCATGGCCCTGGAACGCAGGTCTTCATCACTGCCTGACTTGACTGTATGACAGTAACCTCTTCACCAGCCCCAGGCTCTAGACCCATCACCTGTAGGGCTACTGGAGTCTACTTGAAAACACAAATCTGACCTTCTGCTTAAAGCCAAAGTCCTTGGTGTTGTCATTTACTGCGTTCTTATAACCTTGTCATAGGAGCTCCAGGCTGTATCCGCTCTGGATGTGCCATTCCTTGAGCATGCCAGGAACTCCTGTATATGTTTCCTTTTCTCTGTCTGGCGCCTTCATACCCATCCACTAAGACCTGGCTGTCTCTGTTGCTCCTGGAGAAATCTTCCTTATCTGAGCAGAAATAATCATTCCTCCTGTGAGCGGGGAGGGGGGCTGAAAAAACCTGGAATTTATTTATAAAAATTGTGTATTTATTCTTACATGTTTAAACTTCAGTCACCTACAAAGTACTCTCCATTTGATGCACCTATTGAGACATTGTTTCCACTGCTCAGAACAGTTTTTGAACTTGGTGATTTTGATGCCTTTTAGGGCTTCTGCCGTTGTTTGTTCCACCTCTTCTACATTGGCAAAATGTTTCCCTCTGAGGACTTTTTTTCATCCTGGGAAACAAAAAAAAGTTGCTGGAGTGAGATTGAGTGAATAGGGAAGGTCAGGGGATGGGGGTCATGCCATTTTTGGTCAAAAACTGCTGAACACTCAGCGCAGTGTGGGCAGGTGTGCTCGGAAATCACCCTTCATGAAATGGGCTAACGCGTTAAAAGAGGCTTCAAAAAAATTGACTGAAGCCAAACGCAGCCTCT